CTCTGGGGGGGGGGAATCCCTGATAAGGCTTCCCTTAGGGAGGGGGGGCTGAAGTTCTGTGGGAATAAGCCGAGGGAGCTTCCTGTCATTTATTTATTATGTCTGAGGTTTGCAATAATTTGTAAGCATGTATTTAAAATTCCAGCTAGCATTTATCTCTAGCCTCCATGTCGGCAGGCTCCAAGGGTGAGAACCAGTGGGTGAGACTGTCTGGTAACCTTTTGAATGTACAGTTTAGATTAAGGGGGAGTAAAAAAAATCACAATAATGAACCTGGATTCTTGAAGTTTATAAATTAAAGAACACTAGTTATAAACAAATAATAAGGCCATGAAAATGAGATCTTATTTTACTTTTTTTTTAAAGCAGGAAGAAATCCCCAAAATGCTTTTGCTCAGTGCTTGCTTTGGTGATCCAGATTATAAGTTTGGATCCTAGAGTTACCAAGCTGCCTTTTAAGATGTAGCTCAAGCCTGGCTCTAAATGACACTCAGCAGTGTTTTTGAATGAATGCTTGTGTTCAAGTAGCCTGTTCTAAGAAGGAGGCCCCTCCCTGAGCTTGGTAGCACCCTTCTCTCATTTTAGCACTTTGGAGGATGATGCTAGAGGATGTTTCAGGCCAGCCTAAACCATATAGAAAGATTAGAGTTAGACTGGGTTACATGGTTAAATTCTGTCTAGAAAAATGAGGCGACGGTGGTGTGTGTGTGTGTGTGTGTGTGTGTGTGTGTGTGTGTGTGTGAGGGGGTAGCTTGTCTAGCAAGCTTGAAGCCCTGGGTTTGATCTTTAGCACTGCAGAAAACTAGGCATGGTGGTGCATTGCCTATAAACCTAGTGTGCAGGGTAGTGGTGGGAATGGGAGGGCTAAAGAGCCCAAGGTCATTCTCAGCGACATAGCAAGTTTGTGGTCCGTGGGGACTATAAGAGACTTAATCAGAAAGGAAGTGGAGAGGGAGGGAGGGTGGGGAGGAGGAGTAGGTGTAGGGAAAGAAAGGGTTCCCTGTAGCTGGCACCTCCTGATGATTGGGCATGTCAGCATTATATTGAGTTAATAGGACGCATCTATGAAAGTTGAGTTAGCAAATGAACAATAAGCTCCCAATTAACACGGAGATGCCGTCCTCCACAGACCAGTCGGAGTACAGTGACAAGCCCTATCATCACTCTTCCTAGATGTAGCAGTCATCTAGTATAGTCCACAGGAACAGTGAAGTTCTGCTCTCTTGCTCAACGCCCTCCTAACAAATTAATTAGGATGTGTACTTCTTGCTGGCCACCTTGATGAAGGGCCTTCTGTCTCTCTTAGAAGTTGCAATTTCTTTCACAGTCTCTAGGGGGTAAAGTTTCTCCAGGACTTCAGTCAAAGCCCCCTTGCTTCTTGCAAACCCTTGTGCTCAAGGACCTGGTCCTCACTGTTGCTCTGTTTAAACAGTTATTCTTATTGACCTGATTTCCTTAAGGTACCCCTCTCACCAGTCCCTCACCCCATAGCTCTGACTCTACTATGCATGGTGTGAGATTTTACATTTCTAACATTTTGACAAATGAGAATACTGGCCGAAAATCTGAGTTTTCACGGCAGAGTTCATGCCACTAACAAGGCTGCATGGGAAAAATCCAGGTTCCAATCCTGCACAGAAATTTCACTCGCCAACCCAGACGTGGTAATAATATTTGATATTAACTCAAGCAAGCATTCCACGGATGTTAAAAGTCATGGGCACTTCCAGGGGGTGATTATTTCTAATTTCATGTGGGGGTTGGGAAAACTCTTGTCTCTAAGTTTTTCCTTTGGCAACAAGGTTTGGGGAATATTTAAAACTCCTGTCTCTGATTTTTGCAAGATCCATTCATTTTCCTGGCCATTCCCAACTACATTAAACAGAGGGAAAAGACAAGCAAAACAGGACCCCAGAATGTCATCTTCTTATTTCTTAAGGCTGCTGTTGTGGAAGAATTCCAGAGAGTTGTTAAATGATTTGCAAAATGGAGGCTTAAGGTCTCACTGGGTTTGAACTGGTTAGCCTTCCCAGAGACCTGTGAAAAAACAGAGGTTGGACTTGATTTTCATTTAAGAGACCAGCAGCTAGCTGGCTTTAGGATTCTTACAGGGTCATTTGGATGCCTTGGATGGCAGGAAAATCTTGTCCTTTGTGGTATTGTTTGTTCTTGGGTACCAAGGAGTGAATGCAGAATCCCATGCATGCTAGACAAGTGTTGCACTCCTGAGTTATTTCCTGTCTTTTAAAATGTTTCTTTGTGGTTATGTGTGTGTATATATGTGTGTTTGTACACACGTGCATGTGTGTAGTTATATATGTGTACATGTGTGTGCGCAGGCATGTTGTGTGTTGTATGTGTGAGTGGTGCACAAATTCAAGTGTATAGGTTTTTGGAGCTTTGTGCACATGCAGAGGAGCCAGAGGAGGATGTTGGGTGTCTTTTCCCATCATTCTCTACTTAATTGTCTCAAAGGAAAAGTCTCTCTCTGCCCCTGTCTATCTGTCTGTCTGTCTGTCTGCCTGCCTGTCTTCCCATCTTCCCTTCTCTCGTCCCTCTTTCTGAACCAGACACTCCTCATTTTGGCTAGACTGGCTGGCCAGCAAGCTCCTAAGACACACCTCTTTCTCCTCCCCAGTCCTGGGGGGGGGTCATAGGTCCACCCAGGCAGACCTGGCCTCAGCCTCTTAACTTTTTATTTTGAGACAATATTTCCAAGTTACACAGCTGCCCTTGAGCTCAATCTGTAGTCCTTTCAGGCCTTGAACTTATCATCAGGCCTACTCTGCCAGGCCTGACTTGTCCTTTCATTTTAAAAGTATGGTCTTTTATAATGGGAAAACGTGCCTTTATCTATTAAAAACAGTACTTATCATTTGATTTCTTTTCCTTTCTGAAAGATAACCCCATGCTATTTCTAGAAAGCAGTAGACCCTCATTGTTATAGGTTTAGATACCTGGGCTTTATCTTTTCCTCTGTGTTTGGGAATACCCCACACAGGCTGTGACCCTGAAAGCAGACAGTAGATATGCAAATGAAGAGAAAGGTAGAGATTGCTGAAATCAAGAGTTTCGCTCTATTTAGAAAGCTCTAGTCATTAGGAACTCAAGGACATTTTGAAATGCTGAATTTATTTGGTTTAGAAAATCCAAGAACTGAACTTGGGTGTAGGCATCAGCAGTCCATTCACCACAACTCTGCCCAGAGAGGACCCTGCTGGTGCCTGAGAATCAGTGGCAGAGCCAGGCCGGCACCAGCTTGCTTTCCATAACCTCAGGGCAAAGTGAGGAATTGCACAGGGCCTCAGAATCTGCCCCAGAGATCTAAATGGAAAATCTAATGCCACTTTGCCCCTTAGGAAAATACACATGGTGCTCAGTCATTGGCCCCAGGGAATATTCCTAACTTTGGGGACAAAGAACAAATGATAACTTTATTTTTAAATGTCTGAAATAAAATTTTAAGTTCCTACAAGACAAAAATCAATCCCAGTAGGAATCCTTTGCCCCTTCCCCTTTGCACGGCTAAGACATTCCATACATGTTTATAATAAATCTTTTTTGTCCCTTATTAAGTGTTTATGTTATTATAGAACCCTTTGTCCTATAGATAAAATTCATTCACATGGGTTCAAAGCGATTCTGGAACATTCAGGTTTCTAGTTTGGGGAAACATGTATATTAATGTTATTTGTTTTCTGTTGTGGCATGGATGGTATAGATGATACTACTACGTTTGCCACTTACTTCCCTGCCTTGTGTTAAGAACTTTATAAGATTCCCCATCTTATAAAGTGTGTTTTTATTTCAGCTTGTGCCAACTCTTGTATTTGTGGAGTACAAAGTTCTAGTAACTTTCTTTTATGCCTGACAATGTGCCTTAGAGAGAGCATTTCTTAGGAGTTAGAAGGGCTGAGGGCTGGAGATTTTAAATACCAGCCGGGAGCTTGCTGCCTTCTTTCCCTCATAAAACTGCTATCTCCATCAATCTGTGTTTATTTTTCTCTTGTGTTTTAATTTGCTTAATGGACTTCGGCTGAAGATTTCCCTCAAGGTCCCAGGAAAGTTAAGTCTAGTAAAGCCCAAAGACCAAACTGTCATAGGCAAGCACTTTGGGGAATTATTTTGTCTGACTTTCATCATGTTTTCTTCAGAAACAATGGCTAAAGAGTAGGCTGGACCTCTCCTTGCCACTTGGAAAGGCAGCAGGCAGACTGGCCAGTCCCTGTCTCTGCCTCTCCTCCCCCTCTGTTTTCCCCTGCCTTCTCAGCTCCAACATGGATAGCTAGCTTCCTTTCTCAATACCCTTTCCCTTTCCCCTGACCTCTCCTGCCACTCTTCCTACACATTCTCTGACTCATAGATGTCAACTAAAGTAACATCCGAAAATGCCCCCCCCCCCCGGCTGTTGTTGTTAAGGAATTTGCTCATTACTGAATAATTTGCTGAGAGTACAGTCTGGGATACCAAAGTGATAAGGGGGTCATCGGCATCACCAAGGAGACAAAGGAGATTGGGGTGTGTAAAGAAAAAATGAGGAAGGTTAAATAAGTTGTTTTCAAACAGTTCTCCTGGACTCCAAGGATTCATAGTGAGGGTGGCATCAGACCAAGGTTGGATGGGAGGCTGTGGAGTAGGTGTCCTAGCAGAGATGACCTCCGTGGGGAGACTGCACTTCCTTGTGGCTATGTTTACCAGTCTTCCAGGTGAGCTTCTGTTTTCAGGAAAACCCCACCTGAGAGCCATCTGTCTTTGGCCTCCTGGGCTCTGTTTTGCCAGGTCTGACACATGCTGTTCCATTCTGGTCCTGAGAACTTTCCTTGGCATCTCTGGTGCTCTAAGAGTGAGCACGATGTGAGTTGTCACTCGTGTCTGCCCACCTGCTTCCCTGCGCAGGGCAGGCTGGCATCGGGCCCTGGGCGAGCAGAGCAGGTCCAGTAGCCGAAAGTCGCGGCAGGAACATCTCGGAGTGACAATTGAGAGGAGAACTGTGCAGCAAGGGATAGGCCCAGGAAAACGAAGAAATGGATCAGCCCCTGCAGAATGGACAAGAAGACCGCCCTTTGGGAGGAGGTGATGGCCACCAGCCTGCAGCAAACAACCACAACCTAAGAGGACAGGCTCGCCGATTTGCCCCTAACTTTCGATGGGTCATACCCAACAGGCAGATTCATGATGGGTTGGGTGGAGATGGAGATGATATGGAAATGTTCATGGAGGAGATGAGAGAAGTCAGGAGAAAACTTAGGGAGCTACAGTTGAGAAATTGCCTGTGTATTCTTATGGGGGAGCTCTCTAATCACCATGATCATCACGATGAATTCTGCCTTATGCCTTGACTTCAGCCATTATCCATGAGATTCATACTGTGATTCCCGATGTATTCCTGTACCTTGCATTTTCCTGACATGCCTTTACTGATCTGTTTGTGGTGAGCCTTGTGTTACTTCCATGTGCCAGCTGGGTCTTGTGTTGCCAGCTTCTCTAATTGCAGATTGCCTTCCCACTCTGTAAGTTTCTGTCAACGATACAGTGTTGCCCATTTGCATGGAAAATGTAAAGTAAAAAAAAAAAAAAAAAAACTGAAAAGCAAAAAAAAAAAAAAAAAAAGAGTGAGCACGATGCAGTTTGATTTTACATGATTGGCTCTTCAACTGTGGATTTGTCATCTCAGCATCTGATGGAAACTGTGGCTGACACACACAAACTCCCCAGTCCTACAGACTCACCCCAAAGCTCCCGTGGATCCACATCCAGAAGTCCTGAGGGTTACAGCAGGTCCTGAAGTGTTCATCCTAATGTGTGGACAGTGACTCCACTGCCAATCACATACCAGTAAGAAAGCCAGAAGCAGATTCTCTGAAACCAAGCCTATGTTCTATCTCATTTCTCACAGGACTGTTCACCACCTGAGAGGTAAACATGCTGGCCCCAATCCATCTTCATCACCAGTTTATCCTTTTAAAGAGAAATTCAGACCATTCCAGACCATAGTCCATCTTACTGCAGATATGCAAAAGACTTACTTCCTTGTTTCCCTCCAGCAGGCATAATTTGTTTTTCTTTTTGGTAAATATTTGATGTTCTTATATCAATATTTTCTTTGAAATGGGCACATTTTGACCCAGTGCCAGGAATATTGTTTTGTGAGAAGAATAACGTCATTTTTTAAATCTCAGATGTTTTCTTTCAAATGTTTTATAGCAATAAACATTTCTGGAGTAACTCACTTTTTTGAAACATAATTTGAACAAGAAGTGGATAGAGGGTACATGGCTCTTTCATGCAGTCCAGAGAGGAATCCTCACAAACTTCCCACCATGTTTATGATTCATGCTGGAATAGAAGGGGTATGTGGCTGGAGGGTGGCATTCATTCTCCAAGACCAAATATCCCTGAGCCTGGAGATGATTTATAATAATCTCAAAGGTGGTGTTCTTTTCTAGACAACAGAGGCCTGTACCCAGGTCAAATCTTCTGGTGGGTAACTTTCTGATTGTTTCATCAACTTCTTCTTGTATCCTTATCTCTCAGTACCCACCTTAGTACTGTCTTCCAGGAGTGCTCTCTGTTTTGCATGATCAAATTTAGTAACAGTTTATAGACTTAGTTCCTTCCAAGTAAAGTATTACATTGGAATGATTGTCTGTGCTTAGGCTTATGAGAAAAATGCACAGTAAATTATTGTTCTGATAAGGGAGAACCATAGGATAGAATCTGATACAAAAGCACTCAAATTTCTTCACACATTGAAAGGAAAGAATGCTGTTTCTGGTTCTGTTGGTGACATTTATTTTTCAGTGCCCAGTATTGAATTTAGGGCCTCACACATACTAGGCAATAGCTCTACTAAAGAATCTCCAGCTTGCACACTTATTAAGGAGCCGACTTCCAAATCAATTCCATTCCTCAATCTTGGTTAGAATTAAACAATTTGTGATGACTATTCTTGGTTGTCTCTTTGACTACATCTGAAATTAGCTAAAAACCAAGTGGCAGGACACACCTGCGAGAGATTATTTTCTTTCTTAATTAAATCATTTGAAGTGGGAAGACACAACTTCAATCCCAATCTTTTGAGATGGGAAGATACACCTTTAATTTAGGCCACACCTTCTGATGGCAGCCTATATAAAGGACATGGAAGAAGCTTTTGCTCTTTGTCTGCTTGCTCTTGTTCTCCCTGGCAAGCTCATTTCTTCACTGGCATTAGAGCCTATTTCTTCATGATTCTGGTGTTTACTGAAGACCAGCTGAGACATTCAACCTCTTGAACTGAACAACTACTACAATCTAGGACTTTCCATTGACAGATAGCCTTTGTTGGATTCCCTGGACCACAGCCTATAAACCATTCTAAACTAATATATATGATTTATTAGAATGACATATATATGTACATATATATATGTATATACAAAGTAAACACATATATGTGTACTAAATACACACACACACACACACACACACACACACACACACACACATATATATATGTTCCTACTGACTAATACACCATTCTTTCCAGACCCTATAAGGATCCAGATGAGTAGGGTAGCATTTGATAGCAGTGGGCAGTGGTTATAGCAGATGTGGTGAGTCTGGTATGTGTGGGTGAAGCTCCTCTTAGACACAGAGGATTTGTCTTAGGCTGATGAACTGTGCCAACCCCCAGTGCCACTGTGTAAGATCTGTCTATAGAGAATAAAAGTAGACCCATGTTTGCCTATGTCTAGATGGATATATAAACTAGCAAAATATTTACGGAGATTTACCAAGAATGTAGAGAGAGAAAGAACACCAATATAGTTTTAATTCATATTCTCTCCTGATACAGTTTTTCATACCAGATCTTTATGAAGACTAATTATAAAAAAGAAAAAAGAAAATTAAAAAAAAAGAAAGACAAAAAGAATTTATCTTTAACTACCTTGAGGACATGAAACCATCAGTTTCAGTGTAATCAAAGATATCATGACAATGTTGGTCATCAAGAAAGTTCTAAACATATTTGGAAATTTCAAAACATTTTGTAAGGCCTTGAAACTCAGCAAGGAACTTAATCAGTTCTTTCTTTCCATTCTTAGGGATGTCTGAGTCTCCTCCTTCATCTGAAAAGAAGCCTTTTCTTTTCTGGAACCTACTGTGAACATCACTGTATATAGTAAGAATTGAGAACTGTTTCTGTGGGAAGTCTGTGAGCTTCTTGATTCTCAGTGTTTATGAAGAAGGACTTGGGAGTGTTCTCAGGCAGAAAATCACAATTTGCATTTTGGAAATATAAACAAAACCATAATGAGTCCCAGGACTAAGGACCAAAACAAGGCTTGCACACACACACACACACACACACACACACACACACACACACACACACACACATTCATATTCATGCATACACACACACTCATACAGGTACACTCACACACATGTACACTCATATACACCACAGACACAGACACACAGACACACACACACACACACACACACACACACACACACACACACACCTATACCAATGAGGAAGTTAGGATAAACAGTGTACTTGACTGACTGCAGCAACTGTGACTACTCATGGCTGCCATGTGCTGAGGTGAAAATGGGCACTCCCTGGCCATCTTTATTCACCACTCACCTAGGGCATGTGCTTCACTATTGGCTGATTTAAACAGAGTGGGCAGCAGCTTTCTCCTTGCTGCCCTGGTGATATTTGCATGTGTTTTTGTTCAACAAAGCTGTATAGTGCCGAAGAGTTCAGTTGTTGAAGTGGGTGGCCACATGTTCAAGTGTTTGGAGGTGCAGGCTGCCTGTGGGCTGACCCACCCCTTCTTTTATTCAAGGCGTTGCTCTTCAGTGATGGTCTGTGCTTTCTCTCTCACAACTTTTCAAATGAATACAAATGCATGTGTATAGATTCAAAGATATGGAAAGAAATTCAACAACCTAACCTTCCCTGTCTTGGGGAAGCAGAGCAGTGGGTCCTTTCTGCAATGGGGTGAAAACAGAGCCCATTTTCTTCTAGCTCAGCCTGTGGTCGAGCACAGAAGCTTCTTTCTCTCTCTGAGGCCATCAAAGAAATGACTCAGACCCAAGTCAGCTTTCTTTGGCTACAGCAGAGCCCCACACAACCCAGAGTCACTCAGTGTAGACTGCCAAGCTTTTGTTTCTGTTTTCAATCTGTGTAATAGATACAGGAACTCAGACATGGTAACTCATTTGCCTGTATTTTAATGTTGGTGTAAAGATTTGACTACACATTTGAGCAAGCTGAGTAAACAGTTGTCCATTTGATGTCCTTTGGCTCATACCTGCATATCAGTGTGTTTTAGCACAGGCTGTGCCCATCAGCTGCCACCATTTTCAAACCTTGGTCTTTTCTGGGTGATGAATGATTACTGAAGTGACTCTGGATCTTATAAGGCTGAAGGACTTATAAAGGGTGAGTTTCTTGGAGCTACTTCTATGAAGTCCCAGAGGCTCGGGATACCACTGGAAGAGTATCTAGTCCACACTGTTGCTTGTGATATTCTCTTTTCCGTCGTGATTTTTGCCTTCATTTCAGAAAGTTTCCTTCATTTCCATCTTGCAAAATTTCCACAATGGTGTCACAAGGTTATGAACTCTTTCTTAAAATGAAATAGGGGGACACATGGAGAGTGAGGTTTGAAATATGCTGATGGTGAAAGTAGTATGTTACGAGCACTTCCCCACGAGCCTGATCAGAGCTGCTTCAGTCCCAAAATAACACACAGAGATACCTTATTAATTATGAAACTGTTGGTCAGTTACTAATATTTCTTATTAGCTAGCTTTGTCTTAAATATTAACCTACTTCTATCAATCTAAGTGTTTCCACGTGGTCTTATCTTACTGGAGAGAGGGTCTGGACCTCTTATCTCAAGTCCTTCTTGACTCCTTCTACTACATTTCCCAGAATCCTTCTTGTCTTCTAGTCCCACCAATCTTGCCTTCCTATTTGCCAATGGTGCTTTATTCAATAACCAATAAGAAAAACATATTTACAGAATGACATCTCCCATCAGTAGAGTTTCCATGAGGTAGCCACCCTCAACAGTTAACCCCCTTGATGACCCAGAAGTGGCAAGTAGGAGAAGTCAGGCAGGTTTTCCCAGCAACATCTGCTCCGAGCAGCCAAGGAGGCGACAAGTCATTATTATCATGTGGTCTTGGGACTCCTTCAGAGACAAAGATGTACTGCTTTCAGATCCAGAAGGACTTCCTTCTGGGCTGGGGTGAAGGGCAGAGAATAGGGGTTGCTGGTGTCCAGTTCTGCTGCAGCCACCTTGCTCTGGTGCCCTTCATCCTTGAGACCAACCAGCACCTCAGAACTTGAGCCAGCCAGAGCCTCCTGAATCCCCCTCTGAGTTCCACCAGTTTCCGAGATGTGGGGCTCAATGTGGGGCCTTGAGCTATATTTTCCACTGCAACTACAACCTGCAAGGGAGGAAGGTACTCAGTTCAGGAGCCCATT